GCGGTCCAGTTCTGGTCACCAGTACTAAGAAAAGATATCCTTGAGTTGGAAAAAGTCCAGCGGAGGGCAACCAAACTAATTAGGGGTATGGAGGACCAGAGCTACGAGACAAGGCTACTAAATTTAAACATGTTCACATTGGAGGTGAGGAGATTAAGGGGGGATATGATTTCCATGTACAAAATGTGCAATGGTGGTAGCAACATTAGCGATAAACTGTTTAAAATAACTCCATTACAAAAACTAGAGGCCATCACCTAAAATTGGTGGAAAAAAAATTCCAGCACAAGGGGCGAAGGGGGTTCTTCACAGTAAGATCAGTTAGGGTCTGGAACTCACTGCCACAGGCAGTGATTTCAGCGAAGACTGTGGAATTGTTCAATAAACTTTTGGACGATTTCTTAAGGGACCATAATATACAGGGGTACAGGTACTCCTAGAATTAGATCCTAATAGGTTGGACTTGATGGACTAATGTCTTTATTCAACCTCAAATACTATGTAACTATGTAACTATATATCAATTTAATCATTTTATTTGATTACCAAAATATCCTGTTGAACTGGGATCTTTATAGAGCTATCTGGATTTGGCTAATTCTTGGTGCTGCCTTGGAGGTTATATCCAGACCAAAGATTGTAGATCCTGTCTAAATTGTGCCCTTTAGGCACTGCGCTCTGTCATTGGTGCTCCCTAGATCTTCCGGTACTGTGTTAGCTGCAAAGCACTTTTCAGGTCCAGAACTGTACCACGGCTTTTGGATTGACCTGCCTTTTACTAAGCACTTGATTTGGGCTGAGCATTGGAAGCTGCAATACTATATTATATTTTTATACACCACCATTAGTCCCCTATGAATTTCCCTTCGAAGCTTGCATGTAGCTCATGCTTTTTAGGTTTTCCCTCAGTCACTGCTTATATTAGAAAGACTGATTCTCTCTTGTTATTCCTGATGGTACCCATAAAGTTGAACCAGCTTCTCTTTTAACTATTTCTCAGTGGCTCAGACAGATCCTTGTAAAAGCTTATGGTCTTAGGAACAAAGTTCCACCTTTTCCTGTCGAGGCACACTCTCCTTGATCTGTGAGTTCACTGGGGTTTTTAGGCATCAGGCAACTGTTTCTCATATTTGCAAGGTTGCCATTTGGTCATCCATGCTCCCAGATGGATGTTCAGGCCTCATCTGATGCCAGTTTCAGGCTTAAGCTCCTTCAGGCAGCAATTTGAGCAGCAGGTTGCTCCCAATTTTACTCTGTTTGTCTGTAAGCCTATTAGCTTTATGTTTGCTTTGTTGGACTGCTTTGGGGTTCCACTTGTCTCAGATAAAATTAATCCCGTGTCCCTTAATTAATGATAAAGAAGACAACATTTTTTATTCTTACTGTAAAATTTGTTTCCTGAAGTTCATCAAATGACACAGGTCCCACCCGTCTGTGATTATGATCTAATTTTAAGTACTGTTTTTCTACAATAATGAAGCATGCTGGGGGCCAGAGGGGTTATACCTGGCTGCTCAACTGTTTTCTTGTTCCCCAGTGTACAAATTGTGCTGTAGGTGGCAGTATAACCCAATTGTTTCAGATTAACTGAATCCGGCCACTCGTGATCCACCAAACCCTAGATAATAAAGCTACAGATATGTAACTATGTAACTATGTAATCCTTTGTCCCTTAAACTTCAAAGAACAGATTTTATGGTTAGTATCGTTTTATTCCACCCCTTTGATTTTCTAAGTACTTAGTTCATAATCATCAGGTTTACAAATAGCCAAAGCCCCCATTTTAAGCAAAGAAGTTTGTAAGAAGTTTGTATTATTGTTGAAGAATAAGTGTGTGCAAGAACATCATTCATTTTATCATAATATAAAGTATTACTACGGTTAATGTTATTAAGGCTACTATAACTTTTATCCCCACCACTGTGCCCTAGTAGTGTACTGACTAGGGTTGCCACCTGTCCAGGATTCACCCAGACAGTCCGGGTTTTGAATGCTGTGTCCGGGTTTCATGGCAGCAGAAACCCGGACACAAGATGTCAGACAGACAGGGGCAACCAAAATTAAGATAGGGGCTACTGGCCCCCCACTGAAAATAGTCTCAACTGTAAAATTTACATATGAATGGGTGGCGCTATTTACATATGAGTAAGCCACGAATCATTCTCCCCCCAAAAATGTCAGCGTGTCGCTAGAGTGTTCGGGTTTCGCTTGATAAAAGGTGGCAACCCTAGTACTGACTATGCTGACAGGTCTCCTGCAGCCTGTTTTTGACACATACTTCTTTTAAGATCAATTACACTTATTGTCACAGTTGAGACTGTCATCCGCTACAGATAGAGTAATCTGGGGAGGCCCAAAGGATTGTTGTGGGGCCCCATGATCTGTAGTTACGGCCCTGATACATCCCCACCCTCCTCATCACTGGAGCCCACTTGCTATAAACTGCAGCTCCATGAACATCATTGGCAATTAATTCTACTTGTCTGTTGTCCCCTCCCTCAACATCTGATAAAATCAAATGCTTTACATCCTTCTGCAGCAAATTAAAGAAGCTGTGCTAAAATAATTTTGACGACTCCTTAATATCAGTTTGCGGGACTAAAACAGGATTAGATGTTGAAGAGAGGAAGAAGGGGGTGCATTTGCAGCTGCAGATGACACTGCACTACTCTGTGCCTGGGAGGAGGAGGAGGAGGAGGAGGACGAAGACTTGCCTATCCACTCCACCAACTCCTGCACATGTTCTGGCTTTATAGGATGTCCACTACCAGAAATGAAGCTGTACCCTGTCTCACAAATGTATGGCTCAGCCACCACTTTGTCCTGCTCGTCCCCTAATTTTATCACTTTTTTTATTTTTTACATTTTTTAAAAACTGTTTTTACAATTTTATGTATCTTATTATCTTTTACTTTTTCATTTTATTATTTTTTATGTTTATCACTTTTTGTTTTTAATTTTAATTATTAATATTTCTTCTTATTTTTTACTTTTTTAATTCTTAGTTTATTGGTTTTTTTATCAATTTTTTTATTTATTTCATTTTTATTTTTTCCACTTAACTTTATATTACCACACAGGAGCTAACAAGCCCATGTTCAATAGCATTTGGAAGTGACAGGTTCCCTTTATTGAACCTGTCATCTCCAATACAGGAGTTTGAGCACAGCACTGTGCTGGAACTCCTGTAACAGCTGATATGTGAAGGCTATGACTGCAGCTCTCCCGTATCAGTGTTTACATGGAGCAGAGCAGAGAACTGGTGTTCTCCGCTCTGCTCCCCACTCTCCATCCTGGAGAGAGGATCTCCATCTTCAAAGAGAGGCGGCCTGCGGGGAGAGAGGATCACTCTGTGATCACACGATTATAGAGAGGATCCGTGTGACACACAATGTCGCAGAGATCACTTGTACAATGCAAGCAGTGGCTTCCCCACTGTACATTTAGCCCTGCTTGCCCAAAGTAGGGCTAAATGTAGAAGAAAACTTTTTTACACTCCTGATGCCCCTTTACTCCCTGCTGCCCTGAGGCCGGGCCTCGGTGGCCTTGTGGGAAATCCGGCCCTGTGTACAGGACATGAAATGAGGGGAGATCTTCCTAATGAGATATACATCACAAAACACTGGAGTGGTTTTACACTTCCCTACTCCATATCAAATTTAAAAAAAAGAACTTTTGGCCTTAGATATACTTTAATTCACCAAGGCTGAAATAAACAGTTCAAAATAACTCTTACAATGTACTGATCACATATCTTCCCAAGGATTATATATCACCATATCAATTAAACTATCTTAGCCTCTTGCCCAGTTCTACAGATGTTGAAAATTCTTAGAATTTTGTTATTATAGCCCCTAGACAAAAAAGAGCAGTTAACCCTTGCAGTGCGGGGTGTAACTCCACTTCAAGGGTTATTGACAACAATTTCCCGGATTTGTTCTTTAAACTTCAGCTCATAGGATTGTCTAACACCAGTTTAGTGTGAGGCTATTAACAAAATTAATTGATCTATTTATAAAAAACAATAGCAGAAGTGTCTGTTTTGTTCAGCTATCTGTAAATGCTGCTGCACATGTTTATATTGTTTTGGACCTAGTTACTACTTCTTTGACTAGTGTTCACATTTCTCTCCACCAGGAATATCTGATAGAGTTTGGATATCTTCCTGATGACAATCTCACTGACTATGATGTTCCTGACGCACCATTTATCACAGAACATCAGATTCCTGAAGAGTTTATTAGTGGTCTGGAATGGTTTCAGAGACAAAATGGACTGAATGTAACAGGTAAGATAGCAATCAACCTGTCTTTGGGCCCTGTAGATTAGAGTACTATTGTACAGCGCATGAGTTAAAGGTTAAAGTACATCTAAAGGCTCCTGTATCACAGTTTAAAAAAACCTCATATCCAGATACTATGTGATGCAAGAGCATCATACATAGAAAAATAACTTCCTTCTCCACCCTATAGTCAGCCGAATCCTCATTTATCTGTGTCTCACACACTTCCACTTCTAGGCACTGCAGGCTTTTATCAGCACAGTTAGTCATGTGAATCCAAAAAGAAGTGGGCAGGGAGGGACCAGAATAGAAGACCTCAGTTCTACTTCAAGCATACTATATCCTTATTCCTACATGATATTCAACTGTTGTTTTACTGGTCACAGAATCTGCCTACAAACTTTGCCTTACAGGGTTCCGTCTAGCACTTTAATCCAATCCCCACCACACATATTGGTCTGTCTTGAGTATTCTATTCCTAGCATACACACCTCACTCACACCTCAGTACTTCTGCCAGGAGTGAGATGACCTATCCTGTACACAGAGCCCACTAGCAACTTTTTTTCTACCAACAGTGTACAGTATGTGCAATTATCATAAGAGGCATATCTCAGCATATCTGCAAATTATAGCACAAAGTGCCCAAGCAGTGCAACAGCCACATATACGTTATCACTCCATTAACACCACTGACATCCTTGCTCATTCTTCTTTCTGGTTTAGCATCTTTGGTCATCTTGATTGGCCGGCCTGGAATTAGGTAACACACATGTGCAGTGAATTTATCCTTTAAGGAGGAATGGGCTACGCCAAGAGATATCTGCAGTCAATTTATTCATTGCTATATATGCTCCAGGATGAGGCTTTCGTAGATCACAGTTAGGACCATGCTACACAAAGGAGCCTTGAACGAGACAATGGGGCTTCCACATGTTGCAAATGTTGTGCAAATGGTGCAAATTAATGCAAATTGTTAGACAGTATAATTTGTTTTTTTGCAGGCTAGCTGGTAAATGTGCTGAGAAATGTTTGTGCTTGTACTGTGCAAAATCTAGCCCAAACATTAATTGGTGTGGTTGCCATTTCTGTTTAGGTTGCTGAATTTGATGTGGGGACACACAGCGCTTCAGCTGCCATTAGGCTTTGATGGGCTTCTGCTGTGTCCATACCAGTGTCTTTAAAGGTGCCCATACACTGCACGATTCTCGTACAAGAATCGCGGGTGTATGGAAGGCGTGCGACCGTTTCTACTGTACGGTCGCACGTCTTCCGTCAAACCAGCATGCTAGAAAACCTGCCGGGAATCGTACGATTCTCGGCGAGTTAGTGGCCTGCTGGTACGACAACTGCCGAACGGGCCGGTGTGCGCACGCGCACACTGCCCGTTTGCAGTCAACGTAAGCCCGCCCCTCATTACAGTCATCGTAAGTCCGCCCCTCAGGGGGGCGGGTTTGCGATGATCGCAAGTACGATCTGCATGTCCAAGATGGGCAGATCGTACGTTTTTTTAAGTACTTTACAACCCTCGCAAGACAAAGGGTTGTAAAGTGTATGGGCACCTTAAGGAAGAAAGAGCTAAGTTCAGGCATACCTGCCTTTTAAATGTGTCGATTGATATGTATGCTCCAAAATAGAAAAATAGAGTTAGGACCATACTGCAAGGAGGAGCCTTGACGAGGCAGTGTGGCTTCCATTGTTTGCAATTGTTGTGCAACTAAGACCTCGGTTTTTATTGCAAATTGTTAAACAGTGTAATTCATTCTGTTTTTTGGAGACTAGTGGGTAAGTGTGCTGAGTATTTTTTGTGTTTGTATTGTGCAAAGCCCTTCCACTTTAAAAGCTAGTTGTAAATTGATTGGTGTTGTTGCCATTTATAATTAGTTCATTTATCGTGGCGCCCAAAGCATGCCAAGAATACACATGAACATACACATGAACATGTGTATTGTTGCTAGTGGTAGGCAGTACAATACACAGTGTAACAATACACATGAACATGTGTATTGTTGCTAGTGGTAGGCAGAAAAGGAGCTTTGATCGCAGAAGAGACATATACAGTTGTTTCCGCAATGAAAGCCTACCTGCTAGCAATGTTTCCTTAAAGGCTTTAGTTCCATTTTAAAATTAAAATGTATAGCTGTCACCATTACCACCTCCTGGCATCTGTCCACCTTTTTTTTTTTACCCTTGCAGAGAAACACCTGCAATGTGTGACTATAACAGGGTTATTCACTAAAGGGTGAAGAGTTTGGAGAAGGCAGGAGAAGAGAACAATCTAGGCCAAAAAAGCTGATTTGGAAAAATTCTCTAATTCAGCTCACTTTCCAGTTCAGCTATGTTGTCCTAGATTGTTCACTTCTCCTGCCTTCTCCAGACTCGTCACCCTTTTGTGATTAGCCCTCTAGATTTGTTACCTATTCTGAGAGTTTGCACACTCTTAAGCTGGCCATACACCTTACAACCATCGCACGACTTTCGTCGTTTGCGATAGTTGTAAAGTAATTAAAAGCTTGTACGATCTGCCCGTCTTGGACAGGCAGATCGTACTTGCGATCATCGTAAGCCCGACCCGCTGAGGGGAGGGCTTCTGATGATTCCAATGCCACAAGGGCAGTGTGCGCACCGTGCGGCATTTGTCTCTCGAGAACGCCACTAACCCGCCGACAATCGTACGATTCTCGGCGGGTTTTCAAGCCTGCTCGGGACACAAGACGTGCGGCCGTACAGTAGAAACGGTCGCACACCTTCCATACACCTGCCGATTATCGTACGATAATCGGCAGGTGTATGGGCACCTTTACGATGCTTCCCAAGTGTTTTACTAATGGATGTCAGCTGCAAAATCTAATTTGCATGGAAATTGCAGGGAAATTCCTGATTGTGTGTCATATATTGAAACCTATTTAGCTGCCTACACACTTGGGGTCTGTTTAGAAACCTGGTATTTCTCAAAAAGATCTTGACAGGCCTGTAACCCCACTCCACACACATTACATACACAGCACACTAAGGCCCTATTCGCACCAGTGCGTGCGCATTTTGGTCCGCCTTATGTGTACTTGCACATGTGCTGCATTGGGTTGTTACAGCTCATTGCAGTGCTTGTTTTTTTTCTTTTAAAAACTTTTATAAAATTAATGTAATAAAATATAAGCAAAGCAGTACCACACATTATAACATGCTGGGTTGCAAAAAAATGTTTGTCTGCATAATTTTATCATACACCAATGCATTAGGCAAATGGCTCTGCAGATTGGGCAGGCATAGGTGTGAGACCAACCTCCAGATTTTTTGTGTAAGTTGCTTATTTACAGTTTTGCGTACCTTTCATTATTACCACTTCACAAAAAGACACAATTTAAAATTTACAAATATTTGTTATTTATTAACCCAGTTTGCCCCTATAAACTTCAGTGGGATTCGCCATTTAGTTTGGGTTCATCCAATCTCAAAAAGGATTTGTTATACCCTTGACAAATCAAACTAGATTTGCTCATACCTGTTGCCAACCTTCTCAAAGCACCCGTTCCCAAAATGCTGAAAGATGCTAGGCAATTATTATCTAAACCAAATTTCAATAAAAATAATATTATTCAATACTTGTGTTAGTGTGTTGTGTTACCTACTATTTTTATATCAAAAAGAGAACTTGTGATCAATCCCTTCCTGACCGATAACGGAATTATCCCGTCACCATCGTTCAGTTCATTAATGACCGGTGATGGGATAATTCCGTCAATCAGTACAATGAGGGCTGGTCTGTGAAGGGACTAGCAGCTCATTGAGGTATTGCTATTGATGGGTCCCTTAAGGTCCAAGGCAGACTCTCAACAGCAGATTAGGTGGTCACAGTCCTGTGATCACAGCGAGAGCTGGTCGCTGTGATTGCAGACACATGAATGTCATAGAGTCAGCAGTTGCTCACTGTGCTTTTTAAACAGCTAGCCGGCTGTGTATACAAACTGATACAAAGTATCTCTGAGGAGAATACTGTATTCTCCTCAAATATACGAACTATCAAAGCCATATAATTTATTATGAATTACTTTTGGTTAGCTACATGTTTTGCTTTGGACTACAAATCCCAAGGATGAGCCCCTAAAATGTAAAACTTATGCCAAGGACGAGCCCAAATGTAATGCTTGGCAAAACGTTTATTTATATTTGGTGTCTGTTTCCTATAGTAAAGCTCAAGGAAACTGACACAGTAGCATTTAAAGTACTTTACCAAGTGAAAAATTGCTGCATGCACAAACCTAATTACAGGAAAAGTAAAACAAAACAAACATACATGCTGCTACAAACAAACATACACATGCACCCACTACACTATCATTTCTAGTACATGTAATGGTTTCTAAGAGAGGATACACTTAAAGGTACTTAGCTTCCAGTTGCAAATTCCGTAAATTCCATAAAGAACAGGGCTTCTTGGCAAATAAGCGTTTGCAGGAAAATGGCTTCTGGTGGCATTCTTTCTCTCAAAGTCCTTTGTTTCAGAATTCCATGGTGACGTCCTCTCTTCGTTTTGCCAAGCATTACATTTGGGATCTGTGACGGACCCCAGTACTCAAGATGAGTATGTCTGCCGCTGTATTCTTCCTTGCTGAGGCGATATTGCAACCCGCTGATCTTTAGCTTCCAGTTTCCCCAGTCACTAGTCGGGACCCGAGTGTAGTGTAAAACAAACTCTGATTTATTGAGAAACTGTACAACCTTTTATACAGAAAGTGATCAGATCAGATTATGCAGAAAGGTATATGTATCTTTGTAAATCCAGTAATAGCACTTCCCGATCTCAGCCAAGGTGACCTGAGTCCACACCTCCTATTTATTGAGTTTCAAAGAATCATTTACAATATTGCTATTGTGATGGAGTGTGTTTAGAAAGGACTCAGATATATGTACTTAATAAATATTTATTTAATTATTATAAAAAAAAATCCCATAGTTCAATATAAAACAATCTACTTGTAGTAACATTCATGTAGTTTTCCAGATGTCAGAATCCTGTCTCTAACGGCTATTGCTGATTCATATACTTATAATCCATATTACAAAGTAGTACATTCATATAACTTTTACATATTCCATATAATTCTTAAGTATATCATTATTTGATGAATCCCCTACGCGTTACGGCCACAACGGCTTCTTCAGGGGGGTATGTTTGTTTTGTTTGTATCTATCGATTTTCAGCAATAATCTGTCTTTTTGAGGAAAAACACACATATAGTACAATATCAGTTAGTATTCAACCATGAGATCAAAAATCAGCATATAATATATTGTATCTCAAAAATCTTCAATTATTTCTATTTTCTACTTGTACATACAGTTCCTTATTTATCATTAGTCAATATATTCTATTCGTTATTCTTCATTTGTCAATAGTAGGTTCACATTGATCTTCAAACATGGGATATCTTGTTTCCATAGATTATTTGTCCATCAACACTTATTCATCCATAGTGCATATATTTGATCTTTTTACCATTAGATTATTCAGTATATGTGCAGAAATATTTCATCATTTTTCCTTTTTTCCATGATATATGTTTTAATTATAATTCTTGGTCTAGATATACAACAGGGTATTTCTACATCATACATGTGAATGGTTAATTATTCTACCTTTCTTTCTATTCAACTATTCGTCCCGAGATTGCATGATCTTGGAGAGGTCTTACTCTCTGGGTGATGGGGAATCCCTCATCAGCTCTATAGAGTGTCACACGGCGGAACCAGAGACGCATAAGGAGTCCAGTGCAGCTTCACAGTGCTAAAAAGTGATTAGAGTGCTTAGTCTAGGTTAAATATTAGCTTTCCTTTCATGTGTAGTTATTTCAGTTTAACTGTGTGTTAAAATGGTACCTTTCCTCTATTCCTAATTAACCTCATAGGTTAGCACCTACACTCTTAGGTCCCTATTATGCCAAGGCGGTCTCACAACCCTGTGTGTATATACAAGTGTCTTAATTACAAAGTTTCATCAGGTGTTCAGTGACTCCCCTCCTTCTTCCATATATCAGTATTTTAACCCAGTGTTTACTACATATTTTAAACTAGTTTTCATGTGTTATACCCCAGCCCTTTATCATTCCAGTATTTATGGTTTGTGCATAGGCACAGTGTATTGGCTCTATATGTATTTTAATTTCTCAGATAAAGCTTTCACTCCATAGCCTCAAAGTCTATTTATATTATCTAAGTGCTTCTGTGAATCCACATCGCATAAAACGAAAAATTAGTTTGCTGCACTCCTTACTGTCTCTTGAAAAAATGTGTGAATGGGTGCTCGCAGTGACCACGGGGGCGCCATGAGAAAATACGAAATTGACATTGTCTATCATTAAAATGGACATTTGCTGAATTTAACAGCTTGGTGTGCTGGTGACATCCTTTACAATTTCAGATCAGATTATAATCCCATCACATCCACCCTGCCCTCCCCAGACATTCTGACTGCACAACCCCACAGGGGTCCACCTGCTAAAGAGCTCCAGACAGCCATAGCAGGAGTCTGGCCAGACGCAGGAGAATGCAATTGTCCTGAGCTCCATCAAAGTACAAAGGGAGCTAACAAGAGGTGGTGCTGACAGTCTTTTGATGAACAGGTTACCCAGTATAACATAATTGAGCATAACCCAACACCAATACACATATAACCCATAAACTGATGAGCATGTCGTCACATAGCTTCCCCAAGTTAAAGGATTGCAGACCCGGTGAGACCCTCTGCGGGTCCACTTGGGGATGTCTGTGATGTTACAGTCACCCTTCCAGTTCCGTTTGCCCAGATAGTCCGTCTGCCTTAGCACTGTGTTTCCCGGGCCGGCATTGCATTGTGATTTTGAATTTCTGTGGGGCCAGGCTCCACTGCAACAGCCGTCTTTTGTCCCTGGACACTCGGTTTAACCAAACAAAAGCAAAACACCACACTAATTATGTAAACATTATTATTGCCAAAGCTGTAAAAAAAAAAAAAAAATGATTTTTTTATTATTAAAAAATTAAGAATTTATATATGCACATGTCACATCAAATTAAAGCCCATTTTGTCCTTTAAAAACATATATAATATGTGTAAGTGTAATTCATAAGGAAGATGGAAATGATGGTTAAACAAACAAAAATGGCGAAATTGCTCCGGTTCCCAGAAGCGAAAACATTTTCTGAAGCTGTGTCACTAAGGGGTTATGGACCCTCAATTATTTTTGTGATCTTTGGAATTTTACATATGCCACAGCTATTTCACTAGTCTTTGGAATGAAATTGTATGTGTGGCGTGGGGCCTCAAAATATATTATATTCACATTTCTTTGTAAAGTAATTACTTGTGGTACACAGTAAAATAATATCACTTGTGAAGTCAGGAAGAGTTGTTACTTTTTAGGAAAGTAGACAGGGAGATTTTGTTTCTGTATTTCCTGCTGTATATTGACCATTGAGTATAAGAGAAGTTAAAAACACACACGCTATTTATAATTAGTTTTATTGTTCCTTCAGGTAAACTAGATGAACAAACTACTGAAGCAATGAAATTGCCTCGTTGCGGGAAGCATGAACAGAGAATGGCGTACAATAGAGGAGCCAGGTGGAAGACAGATATGTTAACTTACAAAATTATTAACACTACAGCCAAGTTGCAAACTGGACTAGTCAGAGATGAGCTAGTTAAAGCCATAAAGGTAATTCTAAACTAGTATTTTCCCACTTTCCTAAATTGATGTAAGAAAAAAAAAGTGTTTTCCATTTACCCCCCTTTACTAGAGGGGCTGGCAGTGACACACAGAAAAGGAAGGCCAGTGCTGTGAGCACCCAAACAGATTTGCTAAGCTTGGTGAGGATGTGTGAGTTGCATACTCAGATTTGGCAGCCCTAGATGTCACTGCTACCCCTAACAGTCAGGAGAGCAACCTATCTAGTTTGGGTGGTGAGGTTAATGCAGGAAAGTCTAGAAAGGTGGTAGTAATAGGGTATTCAATAATCCGGACAGAATAGTTTATCACCCAGATAGCCTTAGCCGAATGGTTTACTGTCTTCTGGGTTTTTTAGAGCACTGGGCTGACCTTTCTTTGGGGTACAACCTATATGCTACAGTTGGTCTGCACCTATGTGGAAGGGGGTCTGTCTGCTGTGCTAGGGAAGAGGTTTATGGGAAGGTTGGAGGAGTATTTAAACTAGGATTTCGATTTGGGGGGGGGGGGGTTAGTAAGAATATAATGGGGCAGGTAAGTCAGACAAGAGTCAGACTACAATGGAAGGTGGAACAGGGGGGACAAGGGAAATGGATAAGGAGATTCCTATGTTGCAAACATTGGCGATTACAGTACTATTTATACTACAAAAAAAGATACAGTTTTACAAGTGAAAAATGTAAAAATGGACTGAAGTGTTTGTTTACCACTGCCAGAAGTCTGCCAAGCAAAAAAGGAGAGTTGAAAGCTTTGGTGCATAAGAAGAACTATGACATAATTGGTATTGCTGAATCTTGGCTTTGTTCTTCATATGATTGGGCTGTTAATATTCATGGCTGTGCTCTCAGAGTAGCAGGGTAAAAATAAAAAGGTGTCAGTGTTTATCTCTATATGAGAAGTGATCTAAAAGTGAGTGTGAAAGAGGGCTTTGTTTATGGTGAGTGTGATGGTTCTGAGGCAGTATGGGTGGAGTTACATATTGAAGATGATGGTTGAGTAGAAACATCTTTTATGAGGGACCGAAAGGAATGAAAAGTGTCTGCCGTTTCCTGCCTCATGGTATCCATGAGACCTTTTAACATATCTGCTGATTCCTTAACCACTGATTTATTGACACAGTGTTTACACAAGGGTTTAGCATTGTGAGAACCACATTGTTTGCTCCTGGGATAAGTACTAGTTGAGGGAAAGGTAGACTTTTTTACAGGTAGGAAGGAAATGAATATATGATTGACCAACCTGCCTTGGAGCCAGCAATCTGATCTCCCATATCTGGAGATTCAGCGGGTGCAGCAGAGCCTAACAGCATGGTGAGAGGAAGCACTAGGTTTGTCAATCCAATAAATGCAGTAAGGCACCAGGAAACTCCACCCAGGCTCCAGCGCCCTCCTCAGGTGTTCCCACCTCACCAGTGTGGATCCCTGTGTCAGATATGTTTGAGTTGAGCCTGATGAGAAAAAAACATGTGTCTCCAGAAATTCATGGTGCCTGTCCCCCCCCCCCTCCGGTCCCAGCATGGCCGCTTCATCCAACATGGCTGCCCCTGCCAGAACCATATACGTCACCGGCCGGGTGACGATGGAATACTGCTAAATTATGGAAACACATCACCAGAAGACATGTCCAAGCTCAATCCATGCTCTGCCATCCTGGAGGAAGGTTACTCTTCACCTAGCTCAGCCACCCACACCAAGTAAGAGAAATCATAGGACATTTAAAGAAATACTTTGCAGGGCAATGTATATTTGTTTGATCTGGATTCATTATGAAATAAAGATTGAGAATACTACTTGAAATAGCAAATCAGCATTTAATGCAATGCTTAACGTTAAATAATTTTACAACTTATTTGTTTTAATTAATAATTTTACTCTTCATTTGCAGGTTTGGGAGTCTGCATCGCCACTCAAATTTGTGGAAGTGAATGTTAACCAAACAGCTGACATTGACATCTTTTTTGTATCTGGTCTGCATAATGATGGTGAAAGGAATGCCTTTGATGGCCCAGGTCGTGTCCTAGGCCATGCCTTCATGCCACCATTCAGCAAAAGCAAGAAATCCATTGATGGGGACTTACATCTTGACAATGATGAAAAGTGGACAATCAATGAAAAAAAAGGTATATTTATCTAAATATGTTTCTTATTTAAAATTATGCAAATCTTAATCTGGCAGTCATGCCGTTTTCTTAAACATTAATAGCAAAACACAAATAATATTTTAACATTGAGATTCTACAACTGCAAAACTACAGTTCAATTACTCGACATGGTTGTGCACATTCTAAGATGTGCTTATTTTCATAACACCCGTTATGAAAATCTCATGGAGGAAGAAACTAGAATATAGTTAGGGGCTTTAGGGTTGCATTTTTTGGGGTTGCATATTAACAACGGTTCTCCAGGTGTTCTGATTTATAATTATTCCAATAACTTATAATTGTCTTTTAAAATGAATAGTGATTAATATTTTTTTTTTAAATAATTATGTTCAGGAATAAAAAGGAATAGAAGGCTCTTCTAGGTCTGGCACATACAGGAAATTTTTCACGAGGATACTGTGCTTGTCCCCTGATGGTATAATACAGTTTAAGAATCCTTGACCGTTACCTTCTGCAGCGAGTGTGTGTGTGTGTATCTCAGGATATACAGTTTCATCTGATAGGCAGTTGCCTATTTTAATATATCGATCTCATTAATATTTTAGGGGTGAACCTTCTGCAAGCTGCTGCACATGAACTTGGACATTCCTTGGGTCTCGAGCACTCCACCATTCCCGGGGCTCTGATGGCACCAACTTACAAAGGATACAAGCCATTATTTGAACTTCATCCAGATGATATTGAAGCCATTCAGGCACTGTATGGAAAACCTACAGCAAAGAAAAATTCAAGCTCAAGTTCTCCTGAAGGCAGTTCCAAAGTTGTCACACCTGGTCCTGGGAAAAAGAATATCACTGCCAGCGCAACATTATCAGACAATAAGGATCCTAAAAAGCAGTCTATAATCAAGTTGTGTGGAGATGAAGAAATTGATACTTTTGTATCCACCAAAGATGGTGCAATTTATGTATTCAAAGGTAATTTTTATTATATTAAACAGTTCACTGCCTTTTACTTCCAGGTCCCAAAGGCTAACTTGATACCAACAGGTATGAAAGCTGCATATACTATATACTACCTGTTAATTATACATCACTGGTTTTAATTGTAAAGAGTACACCTGATAAAAACCAACAGGATAAACTCAAATTTCCCATTCGTAAATTTAGCTGAAAAGAGCAAAGGAAGATGTTTGCTTTATGGAGACACTGTCACTTGGCCAATTCAGGTCAGAGTGACAGCCTCCGTGTAAGGCCAGACCTACTGATACTCACTTTTCCATTGATCTCCTGTCGCTTCTTCTTCCAATGCAGCCACCACCAAAATGCTTGGTTTTTGGTGTTGTCAGACAGAGCCTAGAAGCCCTCACTCTGGCATGTGACAGACCCAAGCACTCCATCATAGGAGGAGGCCACACGCTCTACCAAACCTGGAAGCATCAGGTGTTCTGCACTAGCTACAATGGAGAAAGGAGCACCGACAATGGCTGGAGAGGTGAGTATTAGTGTGCATTCCCCAGCAACACATGTTTACATTTTGTTCAACCCCTTGCCTTTCCATTCAGCTGCTATAAGTAAAAAAAAACTTCTTGCAGATATAGAGGAGTATGTGACTGCACCCACTAGTTACCAATTACCAGCACTGTCAAATGAAGAAAGCCCATAGCTCTGTGTAAGCTATAACTTGAGCAGCTTTATCATGAGCAGAATCTTTTTACTTCCCACAGCTAAGCTGAGTGAGGAGAGAGCATAAAGGGGATGTGAGCTGGGGTTAAAAGTTTCTGCCTCCAGAGACCAGAAAATCCTTAGTCTACAGTAGCTATGCAGTCACCACATACATTGCGGGACATGTATCAAGCAAATTAGCAACATAATTGGTCAAAAGTCAGACTGCCACTCTTTTACAAGTCTTTGCAACAGGTTTACGGTCCTGTTTGTATTTGTTTTCCACGGAAGCCAAATGCCACAGATTGCAAAGTTTTAGGACAGATACTGAGCATATAAAAGATTTTCACTCTAAACAAACGCATAATTAAGAAATTGTCAGGGTCAGGTTTTATTTTGTCACAATATTACTTTAGAGCTGCTGAGGAAGAAATGTATAACTCATGCTGTAACCCCCGTAACAAATCTGTCTCAGAATTGTCCTACAGTCTCTGATTAGCTTTGTCATGCAAAAGAATTGATAAATGTCCCACATTGGCTACTAAATAGTGTCCTCAATTACCCCCATTAAAACTGCAGCAGTATATATTCCCCATGTTCAGCTCCTCAGTCCTCTGTCCTAGCTTTCTGACACGTTTCCATGCAGATTTTCTGTAACCAGAGCTTCATTCCGCCACACCATTATTCATTAGGTCTGATATCATGCCTCCCAACTTCCTGAGAGGGAAAAGAGGGACACCTATTAGCAAAACATATATTGGCAAAGGACTCACCTCTGCTACACCCTCATTACATTAATACACAAAAATAATTGGGAAAGGCCCTAAATGATTTGTTGTTACTACTACTTTTCCTTTCCACTGGCTCTTAAAAACTAAAAAAAATTGTTGAACATGCAATATTTATATCAGGCTGAAACTAAGGGGGAACAAAAACTTAGTGTTACTTACTCTTTACTTCTTTTACAATAACTACTGTTATCCAAAACAATGTGGCATGAACTGTCATACTGAGTAATACAACTAACAGGATTCCCCATTGACCTACACACTGACTATTGTTACTGTATACAATCTGTTGCTGTTACACCAACTAATGTCACTATATGTATTCTATCACACTCACTGATGTCAACCAATTAGTCAGGGACCTGAGCGCCTCCAGGTGGCACTGTGACCCTGGAACCAGGTCCTGCAGTTCCAGTGCTCACCTGCGGGTGTCCCAGCAATGAGCAGTTAGTCGCCTCCTGGTGCTGATCTGGGAGGGTATTTAATCTCTCCCTGCAGTGAGGTCAGTGCTTTACTATTGTTACCATAGCCTGTAATCCTGCTCCTGCCTTGTATCCTGACTTGGACCTGACTCTTGACCCTTACCCGTGAGGTCTCTTGATCAGTGGCTCCCCCCTTGTTGTCCTGCTCCCCAGGGTTCGCCCTGTTGTCTCTGGGGTGTAATTGCTACTTGTACTTTTATATGTTACTTGCGGGTATTGGTGGGGGTGCTTATGGTGGGGGTGTTTTTTGGAGTAGCTTATAAACTACAGTTCATAAGCATTATTTGGTGTGGTCACATATTTGGTTCTCCTGTATAAATACCTCGACGGGGTGTGTGGACACCCGTGCACGGTATCTTGACACCAATGTAACCTTTCACCAGCTATCAGAAAAACTAATATGTAATCTGTTAACAACTGTAACATTAAATAAAAAAACATCTAGAAACAGTAATTTTCTGAGCTCACGAAGACCTGTAATTTCCAATAATGTATCCCTTTTAAAAAAAAAATCAACAGAAAAA